CTCTCCCTCTCTCCATCCCTTTCCTGTTTCTTCTTCTCCTCTTCCTCTCTCTCTCCCTGTCTCTCCCTTTCTCTCCCCCTCCTCCCTCCCTCCCTTCTCTCTCCAGTCTCTTCTGTCTCCGTCCATTCCTTGTCTCCTCTTCTCCTCTCTCTCTCCCTCTCTCCATACATTCCTTGTCTCCTCTTCTCCTCTCTCTCTCCCTTTCTGCATACCCTGTCTCTTTCCTCTTCTCCCCTCTTTCTTCTCTCCTCTCCCTTTTTTCCAAATCCATCCCCATCTGACACACTTCCCACTCATCCTTCTCCACCAAGTGCATGCATGTATAGCATGAGAAGATCTCTTTCTCCTTCACTTCTTGGAGAGGGGGACAGGTTTTTCTCACCTGAGGCTGTCCTGTCCTGTCCTGAGGCAGGATTTTGCCCTCCTGGGGTCTGCTAGGACAGATCCTGCCCTTTGAGCCAAGGACGTTTCCAGCTAGCTCCCTAGGGCTGCTCTCCCCCACCGCATCCCTTACCATTCAGTGACCCTTCTGCACCCCTGTGGTGTCCAGGTGGACACACACATCCATGCCTCGTCCTGCATGAACCAGAAGCACCTCCTTCGCTTTATCAAGAGGGCCATGAAGCGGCACCTGGAGGAGATTGTGCATGTGGAGCAGGGCCGGGAGCAGACACTGCGGGAGGTCTTCCAGAGCATGAACCTCACGGCCTATGACCTGAGTGTGGACACGCTTGACGTACACGCGGTAGGTCCCAGGGCAGAGGGGGAGGGGCCTGGGCCTGGCTAGGAAAGGGCCATGGGCTTGTGCTCAGGGATCTGGCGGCTGGCTCTGGGTGGAGGGGACTCTGAGATGTGTCTGGCCTGGCCTGGCTCCTAGGATCGGAACACCTTCCATCGATTCGACAAGTTCAACGCCAAGTACAACCCCATTGGGGAGTCCGTCCTTCGAGAGATCTTCATCAAAACAGACAACAGGGTCTCGGGAAAATACTTTGCCCACATCATCAAGGTACGGGTGTTATTTATAATAATCATAGCTCCCAGTAAGGTGTAAAGTGCAAATTTACAAATATTATCTCATTCGATCCTCGCAGTGACCTTGGGAGGTAGATGCTATCATTATTACACTCATTTTGCAGATGAGAAAACTGAGGCTGAGAGTGGTTGAGGCAGCTGGCTGGCACAGTGGATAGAGCGCCAGGCCTGGAGTCGGCTCATACTAGCTGCGTGACCCTAGACAAGTTCCTTGACCTTTTTATGACTTAGTTTTCTCATCTGTACAATGGGGATAATAATAGCATCTACCTCCCAAGGTTGCTGTGAGGATCAAATAATACCTAAAAGCAAAATGTTTTGCCAGTCTTAAAGGCCACATAAATACGAGCTATTATTATCATTATCATTTATTACCATTATCTTTTGTTATTATATTTGCCCAGGGTTACACAGCTAGTAAGTGTCTGAGGCAGAATTCGAACTCAGATTTTCCTGACTCCACGTCTGGTATCTCTGTTTCTCTCACAGGAGGTGATGTCGGACTTGGAGGAGAGTAAGTACCAGAACGCAGAGCTGCGTCTCTCTGTGTACGGGCGCTCGAGGGACGAATGGGACAAGCTGGCACGCTGGGCCGTGGGACATCGCGTGCATTCTCCCAACGTGCGCTGGCTGGTGCAGGTGCCCCGGCTTTTGTGAGTGCCCCCCAAATGACGGAGGAAGGGGACGCTTCAAAGTGGTCGGGCGCCGTCCCTCTGAGAAGCCTCTGTCCGTTCCCAGGCCCCAGCTTCTTCCTGGGGAGCGAGATTGACCATTCTGGGGCAGCCGAGTGGCCTGTCCAGTTCTGAGTGCATCAAGGGCCACGGCTTGGGACACTGAGCTTCCTGTCCTTCTTCTGGGGTAGGGGTGTACCCTGGGCAGCTTCCAGAACATGGTGGATGGATCTGCCATCCACAGTTGGTCTCAGGCTTCTAGCCTGTACCACCTCACGGCTTAGGAGTCCTAAATCGACCTCCAGTAAGATGCCCTCCTCTCTGATGTGTTCCCCTCCTCTCCACCCCCATGTAGTGACGTCTATCGCACCAAAGGTCAGCTGGCCAACTTCCAGGAGATGCTGGAGAACATCTTCCTGCCACTGTTTGAGGCCACGGTGCACCCCGCCAGCCATCCAGAGCTGCACCTCTTCTTGGAGCATGTGAGTGTCTGGAGGTCTATTAGAGAGGTCACCAGGGCCACTGGTGGGGAAGTCTGACCCTCTGTCCCCTCCTCTCTCCTATGCCCCATCCCCAGGTGGACGGCTTTGACAGTGTGGATGATGAATCCAAGCCTGAGAACCATGTGTTCAATCTGGAAAGTCCACTCCCTGAGGCCTGGGTGGAGGAGGACAACCCTCCCTACTCCTACTACTTGTACTATACCTATGCCAACATGGCGGTGCTCAACCACCTGCGAAGGTGAGGTGGGAAGTGGTGGTGGCGGGGTGGGGTCCTCTCCAGCCTCATCATTTCATTCCTGGTGTCTGGAGATACATGATACTTTACAGTTTACAAAACACATCTCTTCCATGATTATGAGGTGTTTTTAAGAAGGTGAAGCTTAAATTTCTTCCAAGTCATAAGGCCAGTTAGTAATAAGGAGCTCAGGTCTTCAATCCCAGTGTTTTTTTCCTGCTACACCAAGATGCTTTTCACACATCCCAAAACTGAGATTTACCAACTCCCCTTTCTCATCTTCTGTTCCATGGCCAGGACTTGTTTTTATCCTAGGCTGGGTTCCCTTCTCCCCATAAACTCCACCTTTGCCTCTTCCTCATAGGCCTCACCCATGGGATTCTTTCTGTGGCCCTCCCTTCTTTGTCCCTTGTACTTCTACCCCTGCCACACTCTGAGAGCCTATGGTTTAACCTCTAAGCTATTCTCCCATGGGGGGAGGAGTTCCAGGGCTTTTCAGGCATGAGGAGCTGTGGATCCTAGGTAGGGATGCGGCTGTAACCTTGATGTTATCCTGTCCCCCAACACAGACAGCGGGGTTTTCATACCTTTGTGCTCCGGCCCCACTGCGGGGAGGCAGGACCCATCCACCATCTGGTATCAGCCTTCATGCTGGCCGAGAACATCTCCCATGGGCTGTTGCTTCGAAAGGTCAGTCAGATTTGAAGCCTATACCCTCTCTTTTGTCCGACCAGTACCCCTTTCACCCTTCTCATTCAATAGATGGAGCAACCCATACCCCTATCAACAACTAAGACCCCCAACTACCTACCCCATCCCCAGCTTTCTCAACCAGTATCCTCAACAATCAATACTCTTTACTCATCTCAGACAGTACGACCAGCAAACCAATACTCCTTTTTCTCATCCTTCTCAACCAATACCTTCAACACCTCCCATTACCCCATTCCTCACGATAACCAATAGCACCCGCACTCTCCATTTTCTCAGTCAATACCTCTGACCACAAATCAGTATCTCTTGCTCCTCTCACTTCGCCCTCAGTGACACTCCTGGTGTGATCTGCCCTGCTAAGACCAACACCCTTATTATCACCCACCACTTTACTTAATTAGCACCCCCCAACAGCCAATAATACCCCAACTGGCCTTTCTCAACCAATAAAACTCCCAAAAACAGTACCTTGAACTCTTCCAAATAATACCCCTCTCCTACATTGCTTCCCTCTTTCAACAAAATCTCACAATGAGGCCCCAATCCTGTCCCTTTCCCCCTAAATCCTCCACAACCAACACGGCTTAGAATGCCTCACTATGATGAACTCCCATAATCCATTCCCTACCACCCTGCTCACTAATATTGTCAGCTTCAATTTCTTCCTGAAGGTTCCCTCTACTAGTTCTCCCATGCTTTCCCTTTATCCAGCACCTGTCAGTTCTAACCACCTGAAACTATGCCCTAAGGAGCTGTAGCCCCCACAGACTAGACTTATATAGAGCTCGAAGGTACCCTAGACTAGTCGAACTCCCTCATTTTACAAATTAGGAAACTGAGGCCCAGTGATGTGACTTTTCCAAAGTCACACAGGTAGTAAGGATTTCCCCGTAAGTGGAATTTGAACCCAAGACTGTGCTATAGCTCTTACCCTAAAACCTATGCCTTGTGCTGTAGTCCTGCCCGAAAGCCAGTGACCTCAACTTGCCATCCCCTCCATCCCAGCAGCACTGGGGCAGGCAGGGCCCCCGACACCTTCTTTCTCCCTCTCCCAGGCTCCAGTCTTGCAGTACCTGTATTACCTGGCTCAGATTGGCATTGCCATGTCCCCGCTCAGCAACAACAGCTTGTTTCTCAGCTACCATCGCAACCCGCTGCCCGAGTATCTTTCCCGGGGGCTCATGGTCTCGCTCTCCACGGATGACCCCCTGCAGTTTCATTTCACCAAGGTCAGAGCCCAGGCCACGTCGGCCAGTTGGGTTATGGAGGGCTGGTGCTGCCCTCTGCTGGGAGACAGCAGCACTGCTCCTCCTTCACCCTCCCGCCCCTGGGTGCTCCTTTTCCATCCTGACGGTGATGGAGACCAGGGTCCTGGCTTCTGTCCACTCCCCCTGAGCCCCTTTCTGTGCTGCTGGCGTCTGGGGACAGGGCCTGGAGGGCTGGCAGGGGTGACTCCTTAACAGGCTTTCTGATCCCTAGGAGCCTCTGATGGAGGAGTATAGCATCGCCACTCAGGTGTGGAAGTTGAGTTCTTGTGACATGTGTGAGCTGGCCCGAAACAGCGTCCTCATGAGTGGCTTCTCGCACAAGGTAATGACCGATGGGTCCTCATGGCCCTCATGGGGTATCCCCGCCTTGGCTCTTGTGGCCTCAAGGACCCAGGAACGTGTGGGGAAGCAAGCCGAGGGGAGCACCTGACCCTTCCAGAGAAAAGGATCAGATGCTCCCAGAAGACCTGACATCTCTCTACACCCTGCACCTGGGAAGTTGGGGGCTGCTTTGCTCTACTCTCCCCTTCCCATGGGGTTGGATCTGTGTAGCCCTCCCTGCCTAGTGAATCTCCACCTCTCCTTCTCAGGTGAAGAGCCACTGGCTAGGGCCCAATTACACCAAAGAGGGCCCCGAGGGCAACGACATCCGCCGCACCAACGTGCCAGACATCCGCGTGAGCTACCGCCACGAGACGCTGTGCCAGGAGCTGGCCCTCATCACGCAGGCGGTGCAGAGTGAGACGCTGGAGCCCATCCCCGAGGAGGCTAGCCTCACCATGAGCCCAGGGCCTCACTGAGCCTGGGCCAATGGCCTGACACCTTGTGGTGTCCTCTGTCCTGTCCTCTCTATTTTCCTCCGTCTTTGTGCCTTCTCTGTTTGACTCTGTCCCCATATGTCTCTACTTCTTTGCATGTCTCTGCTTGTCTCTCTGTCCTCTGGTCTGTGCCGCCTCCAATAGTAGGAGGGGATTGTTGGCCCGTATACTTCTGGTCACTGGGCCCAGAGACCCTGCTGCTGACTTCTTTTTGACTCTGAATTACGTCTGTCATAACGCACCAGGGCTGGGCCCTGGCACTGCCCTTTGTAGTGGGCAGCCTGAAAGGTAGCTCCTCCCTTCTGCCCGTCACTCCAGGGTGTCAGAAGCCTGGAAGCTAAGCCTCATTCTGTTGTGAGAAGGGATGTTTCTGGAGGAACCTTTCCCTGGGGCCCTGTGCCCATCTAATGGCTGGGGAGCTGGGTTTTCTAGAGCTTCTCGGCCACGTGGGACAGGTGCTGTGGTTCCATGCCCACAGACACTACCTGGGTGGGTACCCAAGTTGGTCAGGACCCGGGCACCAGCATGGTCTTGCTTACACATCCTGGCAAGTGTGATGATGTCTTGTCAGAAGACGGGGCTGCTGTGGGCACCTCGGATGAGGGCTGGAGCCTCACCGGTTGTTAAGCTGGGTGGGCTCCTTCCTCCTCAGGTTACTGTTGCCGTCACATGGCTAGCCAAAGGCTTGTCCCTTCCCTCCCATGCCCATCTCCGATTGGGGTGCGCTGGGGTGGGGGGGAAGGGAAGGCTGAGGACCTGATTTAGGTTCTAGGATCAGGCCGGGTGCCCAAAGACGGTACTATGGCCGCTTCCATCCTTGCCGCCCACCCAGACAAGCTCGAGCTGTGGTTTTTTGTGCCACTGTGAGGGGGGAGGAAGGGGAGAGGAGGGACCCTGCTTCAGCCTAAGCATTGGGCATCAGGGGAAGCAGGGGAGGGCCCAGGCACACCCAGGTGGCCTTGGAGAGAAAGAGAGCATCCCTGGGTAGGCTCCCATTCTCGCCTCTCTTCTCCCTACCCTTGTCGGTGTCTTTGTCACTGGCCAAGCTGGAACTGTGTTTTTCATTGCTGTGAAATGTGAGATTTCAAACCAGTCCCTCTCCAAAGCATGAAAAAAATAAAGATTATTTAAGTAACCTGGTCTCTGGGGGAGGCGGAGATGGGCTTTGTGCGTGTGGGGAGTGGGGCACAGGATCATGAATTTACAATTGGAAGGCACTCGAGAGGCCGCTGTGTTCATTTTACAGATGGGGAAACAGATTCAATCTTGCTTAGGGGTCACAATTTGTGGCAGAGGCAGGATCTGAACCCATGTTTTCCTGATGCCAGGTCCAGTATCCTCTCCTTTACACCATGCCTGGGCTCCTGCTGCTTCCCCCACTCGCTGCCCTACCCTGGGGTCAGAGTGGACGTGGGGTTGGATTGTTGGGCACAGGGGGGGACATGGCCACTTTGGGTTACAGCTGGTGGGGAGATTTCAGGATGAGGGAGGCAGTACAGTTAAAGGCAATAAGGAGAAGATGGAAATGAGGGAGCTGGTAGGTTTGTTTAGAGGAGGGAGGGCCTTTCCCCTTCCTGCTCTGATAACAGTAGTTGTATATAATTCTTTTAGCACATGGACAGGCCTGGGAGGTGAAATAAGAGCCACCATTTTATGATATTTGAGCCTCACAACAAACCTATGGGGTAAGCGGAGGCAGAAGCATTGAGTTGGAAACAGCTTGGTACAGTGCAGAGAGCACTGGCTTTGGAGTCAGAGGACCTGGGTTCAGATCCTGCTTCGGTCACTTGATGGTGTGACCTTGGACAAAACAATCTCCGTGGGGCTTCCATCTCCCGTCTGTTGAATGCGGGGGTTGGATGACAACTAGATGGCCTCGGAGGTCCCTTTCAGCCTTTAGATTTAGGGTACTGTAAAGGTACCTCCCGTGGTCATGGACTTCAACTCTTAACTGCTGGGTGAATCCTCTCTCCAGAGGTGACTTACCCAAAGCTACCCAGTTAAGAAGTATTTCTGACTCCCAAGACTCCATCCCACCACCGGTCCTTCTCTAGCCTCAGTCTACCGAGTTTGCAGAATTCTTCCCTCACTCACCCCCTAGTGTCCAGTAACTACTGGCCTCCAACCATCTGGCGTCTGCTCCCTGGGCTCAATTACTGTAAACCAACAATTGATGAAGGTTTGTTAGGTCTGATGGCGCCGTCTCCCTACCACCGCCATCTTGTCCCCTTTCCCTCAGTCTAAAGGAGGAAGAAGTAAAGATCTTATTGTGCTCCACTCCCTCCCGATCTAGTCCATAAACGCCTTCTCACCTGTCAGAATTGACACTGGAGATACCCTCACCCCTTAGCCCCTCTCCCAAGCTCTACCTGGACTTTAAAGCCCATCCGCCAATCACAATCCCCTCCCCGCATTTTTCTGTCCCAGCTGTACCCTTTGGTTTACAGTTTTCCTTCTAGCTCCTCGGCATCCTTGAGGGAGAGGACAGTGGTAAGAGAACCTTGGAGGGAAGTTATGCAGAGCCCTACCTTGAAACAACCCTAGGAGCTCTGCGATTCTATCCAGACCCTTGGACTCCACCACGGGACTGCCTGAGGGACAGGTGTGCAGGAGAAATCCACGAAGGGGAATCTGGGGGCTGAGGGAAGGGTCAGGGCACAATCCCATCACCTGAGGAGAAGGACTGCCTTTGATGGGACTGCTGTGAGCGTTGTGTGTCTCCAGAGAGCTTCAGCTCCCACAGGGGCACCTCCAAATAATGGTGCTGTTAATCACCTGACAAACACTTAGTAACCATCCAGTATGTACTAAGAGCTGTGTTGGGCGCTGGAAAGACAAGAGTGAAATGCTCCCTGCCTTAGAGAAGTTTACATTTTGTTCTGCGCTAAGGTTTACAGAGATTTCTCTCGCAGCTTTGTCAGTAGGTAGTGAATTATTTTTCTTTCCCATTTTGCAGATGTGGAAACTGATGTTTAGGTTAAATCACTTAGAAGCCTAACTTTAAAGTGGGAAGGGACCTTAGAATTTGTCATGCTCATTTTACAGATGAGAAAGGGGTTAAATGACCTGACCAAAGTCACCTAGATAATGGGTGGCACGGCTGGAGTTTGAACCCAAATCCTCTTAAGTCTTCAGTTCTTTCCTCTATACCAAGCTACCTCATTAGATTTGGGAGGGAGAGAGGGGAGGGGAGGAAGGGTAGACCTTAATCTCAAGGTGCCCAAAGCAGAATGTGTATGCATCTCATGTACATGCCACTTGGGAACTCTTCTGCCTTTCTCTCACAGTCTTTGATTTATCTCTTTTAGGGAGTATTTTTTATTCACAAGGATAATGAAACAGAGACCTTAGGATTTAGATACGGCAGATCGGGATGCAGGAATCCTAATTGCCGGTCTCAGACTACTAGAGCCTCTAGTTTAGAAGACCCTGGAGGGCTCTGACAGAGGAGGAGTTTGGAAGAATGTAACCCTTTCTGCAGTCACTTGCTTTCCCTAGAGACTTGCTCATTTCACAGATGGATATCCATAGTTCTTTGCTCCTGGTATAGCCTGGTTCCTTCATAGCATCCTTCCATCTCTATGTCCCTCTTCTTCAGGAATCCTGAGGTGTTCTTGGAAGTTCAGATATTGAATTCAGATGCTCTCATCCTCCTGGGCCCCAGGTCAGACACCGGGTATCAGGATTTAGCACTCATTATAGGATAATGTGGGCAGCCAGGTGGCACCTAAGTGCCTTGCCTGGAGTCAGGAAGATTCTCCTCTTCCCAAGTTCAAATCTGGCCTCAGCCGCTTCCTAGCTGTGTGACCCTGGGCAAGTCATTCAACCCTGTTTGCCTCAGTTCCCTCATCTGTCGAATGAGCTAGAGAAGGAAATGGTATCTTTGCCAAGAAAACCCCAGATGGGGCCATGAAGAGTCAAACACGACTGCAAAATGACTGAACAACAAACAACATACGAAAATGCCACATTTGTGCCTTTGCATGCACTTTTGCCAAGGAATGTGGGCTCCTTCCTGAACTATGGCCTCACTTTGGACTGTACTGTTCTGGACCTCAGTTTACTGGGCTGGAAAATGAGGGTTCTGGATTAGAAAGGTATAACATGCTTCAGTGGAAAGTGCACTAGCTTGGAAGTCAGGCCAGAGGTGGGTTAATATGCCATCTGCGCCACCTTCTAGCCCTTTGACTTTGGGAAAAACCCTCTTATGAGCTTGAGCTCCCTTTTCTGTAAAATTCGTGGGCTGGTCTAAATGACCTCTGAGGTTCTTCTACCTTCTAGAACTCTATGATTTTCATCATCTCTAAGGTCAGTTTCACCCCTAATGGCCCATGATAGGATGAAGACAACCCTTCTCTTTTTCTCGTACCTTTCCAAATAAGGCAATACCAGGCTGGCCTGAAGAGTCAGGAGACTTGTAACTTTGTCCCTCGCTCATTGTGTGACCTTGGGCAAGTTATTACATTTCTGTGGCCCTCACTTGCTTCATCTATACTCTTTCCCCAGAATAACAATGGCTTTGACATTTGTACAGGTTTGCAAAGAGCTTTCCTCATGACAACTCTTCAAGGTGGGTAAGGGGAGCATCTCCCCCAATTTACAGATGAGGAAACTAAGGTTCTGAGAGCTTAGTTAAGTGGCTTGCCCATAACCAAACAGTTAGTTGCTTGAAGTACCATTTAGACGGAGGGCTTCTGTCTCCAGAATAACTAATAGAGTGAGATGTCCAAAGCCACACCGCCTCTCACGCACTGAAGAATCATAGGTTTAGCGCGAGGTGGGAGAGGGGGTGTTTAGAGACCATGAGGTCTCACCTCCTTGTGGGAAGGGGGTGAACTGGGTGATTTTAATGAGGTCTGCTCATTCTGTGTACCTATGACAGTAACACACTGTCAGGTCATTCTACCTGAGAGTGAAAAAGGCCAACGTCCCCTAATGCTTCCGGGGCCATCTCCATCATCCTGATCTATATCTCACCACTGGACCCAGATGGTTCTAGAAGAGAAAGTGAGGCTGGTGACCTTACACAGTCCTCCCTCACTTAAATCCAATTCGCTTGCAAGTCATGGCGTCAGCTCCCTGATGTCATGGTCCACTTTGATAAACAATAACTTGGAGCGTAACAAAACTCTTGCCGCAAGGCTTCAAGGTCACTTTCCACTGGCCTTTCAGAGCTAAAACAGTCACTTCGGCATTGAATAATAACTTGTTCCCAGATTCCAGGAGGTTTTAGTGGCAAGAATACCAGATTGGGAGGGAGGTGACCTGGGTTGGAATTGCTATTACCTGTGTGGCCTTGGGCAACATAAGTAATTCAACATAGGACTCTCTAGACTTCAATTTTTTCTTTTCTTTTCTTTTTTTTTTTAATTAATTTATTTTGATTTATCAATAATGACTTCCATATGCTTTTGAGTTTAAAATTTTTCTCCCCCTTCCTCCCCACCACCCTCCCCAAGATGTAGACTTCAGTTTCTTGATCTGTAAAATTAGGAGTTGGAAACTAAGGCAGCTGGGTGGATAAAGCACTGGATTTGGAGTCAAGAAGACCTTGGTTCAAATCTTCCTTCAGACATGTACTAGCTGTGTGACCCTGAGCAAGTCACTTAACTTCTGTTTTGCCTCAGTTTCCTCAACTGTAAAGTGGGAATAATGACAGCACCTAGCTCAGCATCATGTCAACTGCTTTACAAAACTCAAAAGTGCTTTGTAAATGCTTTGTTGTTGTTTAGTCATTTTAGTCATGTTGAACTCTTCGTGACCCCATTTTTTTTCAGCAAAGTTACTGGAGTGGTTTGCCATTTTCTTCTCTAGAACATTGTACAGATGAAGTGACTTGCCCAGGGTAATACAGTTAGTAAATATGAGTCCAAACTTGAACTCAGGAAGGAGCCTTCTTGATTCCAAGCCTGGCACTCTGTGCACTATGGCGCCACCTAGCTGCCCCAAATGTAAATGTAAATTGTAAATGTTAGCTGTAAGTAAATCTGTATTATATACTTCTACTAGATAAAGTCAGAAATTGGTCTGCCTTGATCCAGCTCCTGATATGGGATACAGATGGGGTTGATAACCCTCCTTCCCTACTGTCCCTTTCTTGAATGAGAAGAATTAGATACGGTGCTAGATCATATC